CCCCCCGTCGTTACCATCGCTATCCTCAATTTCTTCGTCTCCCAAGGTTTGCCGATTTCCTTCTTGTCAAGCTGCCCTTTTTCTTCCTCGTTATTTTTTATTTCCCCTTGTTACAAAACCGAGTTCCACCTTGCTTGTCCCGGGTTGTTATCGTGAAAAGCTGCTTTCCACTGTGCATGCCTTTTTTGCCCTCCCCAACTCGCTGGGTTTTCCCTCACTATCTTATCCCTCGTAAATATGCTTATAGAATGTTTGTTATTGTTAGTCAACACGACAGTATATTTCCAGGAAGGGATGTTCAGAATTCGCCCAGACAATTTGAGAGGATTTTTGCACTGGAAAAACTTTGTCTTGACCATCCAATGGTAGAACATTTTGGACAAAAACCTTATCGACTGGCAAGTTTGCTGAATACCGCTTGAAAGTTTCCATCCAATTCTCATAGAAGGTTTAATCTCACCAATTAAGTTTGTGAAAGTTCTATCGATAAAAGTGAGAAACACTTGACGCTTTATGCCGACTCTTAATCACGAAATATAGAGGCACTTGAGAATTGAATTAAATTCTAAATGTTTCTCTCCGTTATGACAGCAGCGTTAACTCAACGCGTTATCTCACCTTACTGTTACAATTGCGGAAAGTTTACTAGTGAGAAGAATAATTAGTGAATGAAGGTATTAAATACGCGACGAATTCGTGGATAAATGAAAGGGATGCAAAGCCGTCGGATTGAAAATGAATTTGAGACAGTGAAATGGGGAAAGAATTACAGTGGTTTCGGGATAATTGTCAGACCTCTGTGATCCAACACCCTTGATAAAGAACAGGGATTTTTCATGCAAATTGAGAAGACTTTCTGGGCATTTGGATGAACATTTGCAGATTCTCATTCTGCAGTACCAACGTCAGAGACTCCTCAGTTTACAACAGAGCATTAATATTAAATTCATGAAATTTTCTCATTTCTAGGAATATTTTAGCTGTTGGACGGCAAACTACACTTAATTGCTCATCTGGATGAAACTGCAGCATCCGCTTGAATTCAGAATTGTCCCTTTCACGTTCATGTACAAATTTGTCCTGTTCTGTTGGGAATGTTCTCTTTCAAAACTTTGCAGATACTTGAGTTATCGATAATTTCGTTTCTTCAGGGTGAAGAAAATTTGAAACTTCTGAAATTTACGACAGCTGACTCTCACAGCCAGTCATTTTCGGGTAACCTTCCGACTTCCAACACTGGTGTCAAGGGTGCCTGCAATATATGTCTTGATTCGAGTGTACATAGGGCAAAATTATTCCATCTACGTAACAAAATTCAATCAAGATTCCGTCCAAATGGACTGCAGTTTCCCCATCGCATAGGAAGTAACAAGGGAATGTGCCAGATAATATACGGTCCTTCCTGCAATAAACCCATTCACCAGATTCGCCGGAAGTCGTTTGCCTGAATACATAATCGAACGGATATTTGAGGTGTGAGATGTCTTGTTGCATTTGACGTTCGGAAAATTTTTATTTCTGTTATGAAACTACTAGTGTATTTGGTGGCTCGCCTTACGGTGGTCCTATTATTTTCATGATGAATTCGACATTTAGACGGTGTTCCAGCACAACGGGTTATTAAAAACTAAATTTATAAATCATTCAGCATCAATTGAAAAATATCACTTGAAGACATTGATTATAACGAATTCCGTGAGTCTGTAACTGTCAATTTGACTGTTTATGGAAATTGTAACATTTGAGTATTTTCCGGGGTCAAGTCGAAAAGCTGTGTTATTCTATCCGCTGTGCAACAACTGCCAACAGTTGAAAGCCCCCCTGCAAGGGGCCTTATACCCGAAAATAACCTTAAGACCGCACTACAGCAACACGTTGAAAACCGAAACTAACAGTATTCGTCCAGCGGTCAGTCTGGACACATCAAATGCTCAACTTACTCAATTTTTCAAATCAATTCTCCCCTGCGAAATACTTTAGTGAATCTAATCATATCTTCCATTCAAATCAAACTTAATTAGTTTAACTTCTTACATAAATTCTGATCAAATCAAAATAATATCTCATACACGCATTTTAACTAAAAATATTGTTATCATTCAAATGAATAAATTTAAAAATATGTATTTCATAACAAAGTATGAAATAAAATGCCTTTGTAAAATGTATTATTTCCCAAAGGCCTTGAGATAATCGAAACAAACGTAAAAGCAGAATCACTTGTAAAAATAACATATGAAAATTTCTATAAAACAACAAAACCCATTATAAATAAATTACTGTCTTAAAGTTTAATTTAATGGAACAAAACATTAAATAAAATAAGTCATAAATAACCTGAGTGAGCTTAATTGTTAGCTCAAGAGCACTCGTAGGTAAGCTTTCAAATCAATGGAGAAGTTTTCATAAATATTTACGGAAAAATCACGCAAAATTAACGTAAAAATTTACTCGTAGAAAAATCTGCTGTACAGATCTGGAGTTTTTTATAACTCTCGAGGACCTTTCTGGATTGTCCGAAGCGTTAACCTCTGAATTATTTGCGAAATTCCTAAAGATTTATAGAACATTCCAGAGTCTTCTGGAACATTCAGCATTGGAAAATTGTAGAGGTTTCCCGACCATTCGCCAACTTTCCAGGGGATTCTGCACCGCTCTGGACCTTCCTTGAACTTTCTAGAACCTTCCATCAATTTCCGGAGGAACGGACATCGCAAATTATGTAGAGTAAGATATCCTCACTGAGAAATAAATAGTTCTGCTAAAAAATTATGTGTTCCACGGGATAGAGCTTTTGTCGTGTTAAAATAATTCAGTTGTAAACACTGAAGAAAGTTTCCACCGAAACATGGTAATTTCTATGGGAATTTTTCTTGTAAGACATTTATGTCTTTCAGGTAAATCCATTAGTTCTACGAAGATTTAAATGAGGCTCCGGTTATATGGATTCATGATAGTCACAACAAAAATTCAATTTAGATGTTGAATTTTCTTACATGAAGTAGGTTAATTCCACTCACATAAATCTGTTCCACTCCATCAAATATCTTTTTCGGCAGAACGAACTCTTTATCTCAGTGGGGAAGACATTTTGTGATGAGATCATTTCTACGCAGAGAATTCCTACCGGGAGGTGCGCAGATTCGCG